ACATCTATTCAAAAAACATACTTGGTTTTTGTTTCACCAGCATCCTTTTAGCCTGGTCGGTGAAGCAGCAAGCCTACTTTAAGTCCTAAATGGCACCGTGTAGATGAGAGTCTAAGACTTTAATTATATGTCATTTTATTCACAACATTCAATTCCAAGAAGGAAAAAAAATGACTTTGTGGTTGTAAAAGACATATTATGTGAGTATCATTCATTGTAAACCAAAAATGATACTGTATTATGGCAAAAGCAACAATGGGAACTGATTCTAAAAAATGTGACCTGCCTAGAAACTGAATAATAGTGAAAGTTATCAAAATGGAAAGAAGTGTTAATGTGAAATCCAGCTTTCTTAGAAATACTCTTTCCTGGCCTGTTTGGTTTTGCTTTTGTTGCTTGTCATGCATGAATGAAAGTGCTACACTCTCAGGGGAGCAGTAAAGCCTCTGTGTCGGTTGTTTATTTCCTTAATCCCTCCTCCTTTGTGATTTTTGATGTCAGATCTAAAATGGAAAGCCTGTAAATATAATGATTATCACATGGATAATCACCTGCATTAGGAACCGCCCTACTTCTCTATTCTAACCCTAGCTGTTCTCCACATGTCACATCCACTCTGAGGTTGGATTTTAACCTGACTGCTTCATTAGATTTGTGAAACTCAGTACAGGCGCCCTGGGGCAGCACAGATGGAGATTTGCTTGTTTTCTTTTCTCACTTCTACTGTGAAGGCACACTAAAAAGTCCTTTTCAATTTAGTGTGATCAGTTCACTTGAAATTAACCCTAATATTTGGAACCTGCTTTACTCTTCTACCCATCATCTATGCCCATTCTTTCTTCCCTGTTTCCTGACCTAATGCCCTTTCTTTCTGTTCATCCATGTTGTGAACCTGAGGACTCAAATTCTGGTTAAAATTCTTCCTGGGTCAAACTGTTCCCCTATGTTGTTTTGTTTGTTTTACTGAGAGGGAAAAATAAATGTTGTTCCATCATTGTATCTACAAACACCTTCAGATCAGAGGTTAGCTGTGCAAAAGTCTGCAGTGATGTGAGCCAGCTGCCTTCTTAATGGAGTGACGGGGGGCACCAGCCCCAGATCAAAGGAAGGTGGGAGGAAGTCAAGAGATAAGATCTTTTTAAGCCACAGAACAAGTGCTTAACTTTCCTAGTGATAGGGCACAGCTCTGCGAATCTATGTGAGGGAACGCTGAGATAGAAAATTGAGTTGACTTTTCTTAAGCATGTCCTTCCTCAGTCAGAAATCTGTTGGTACTTAGAATAGTTTACAGATATGGATGTATCCTAGGCCCAGTTTCCTTAAGAATCAATCCTTACACATATATATTATCTTCTTGAAATTAGTCAGATTTACTTTACCATAACAGATCTCAGTTAACTTCTCAGTCCACTTGTGTGAGCAAAACTGAACATTAAAAAGCAATTTAAATACCCTATGTAAATGTTGTGTCCTTATATTTTAGTGAAATTTTAGTCCTATAGTCTTCATTTTAAAGTTTTGTCTTATCATTCTTTAGAGTTTTTTCATGCCTCAGATGAAATTCCAGATAAGTAGTTTTAGCAGAGCTTTTCAATTGTCTATAAGAATTAGCTTTATTAATTATGTAACAGCTGCAAAAAATACTACATTGATCTCTTTTGAAGCTTATCCTTTTCCTTAACATTAAGGCTAACAAATATTACTGAATATCTGATGTAGAAAATTCTATTGCAATATTGTAAGTAAATTGTAAAAGAGATTAACCTTGCTTGTGACAGTTATCAAGATCATAATTTAGTGTGTGTGTGTGTGTGTGTGTGTATTCTACATCAACTGAGGCTAGTGTAACCTGCCTTATGTTTCTCTAGTGAGCAGCCTAAAAAGTTGAATTTTCAGCTTATCATTTTCTGTTAACTTAAGTGTTTAGTTGTAATAGTCCATTTTGACCTTTCCAAAATTCTCAAAATGGTTCTCTAAATCTATGTAAGTATATTGGACCATAATTGCATACATACATTTGTTCCCAGTGTTTACCCTAACATGTATTTTGTACCCAAATTTGTGCTGGAGACACTGACTGAACTTTCTGCCTTACATGGTTTGGTACAGCAGTCGATTTAGTTGAGTTGGATCTGCTCACTACTCAGGCTTAAATCCCATCTTTCTATTAATATCTCTTGGCAAAGATAATTTTGGAGGAATGTAAGTTAAGATGTAGAGGCTCTTGACAGTTGTCTGCAATTTTTTCATTTTCAAGAGGGAAGTAGAGTTGAAAGTAATACTGCTTCCATTTTCTACAAGTCTTAAAATATATACAGAAAGAATAAAGAGATAAAAGGACTTGGTTACATAGATGTGTTTTTGGCATTTGATAACCTGTTATAATGCATTAGAGTAATGATGTTTATCAGATTGTGCCCTTAATATTTTTAATATCTGGAAGAATTTAGTGTATTAAAATATTTTTTAATGATATATTTGTATCTCCACTCCTCGGAAGGAAGGTTGGGCATTCCTACTTCTGTAGTGATAACTGCCTTGGAAACCCAAGGAGGGGTCGCTAGGAGTCGGGGCCGACTCGATGGCAAATAACAACAACAACATATTTGTGTTAATGTTCAACTTTTACTAGCTTCTCATATGAAGGGGAAGTGATTTTTTTGTTTTGTAGGGTTTTTTTTTGACAATTTATTATGAAAATTCTGAAACATACAAAATATTCAACTATTGAAACTTTACATACCACATACATCCAGATTTAACAATTGTTAACATTTTGTCTTTCTTTAAAAAAAAAAAAAACTTATGATGTGGGTGAAAGTTTACAGAGCAAGTTCTTTTTCCATTCAACAGTTCATACACATATTGTTTTGTGACACTGATGGCAATCCCCACAATACAACAGCACTCTTCTCACTTCCTCTCTGTGTGTCCAGTTTCCATTTGTCTTTCTTTCCTGTCCCTTCCTACCTTCTGAACTTTCTCCCTGCCCAAATACTATCCTTTTAATCTCAGATGATTGAGTAATCTTGTATGGTCTAAGTAGTGCCTACCTCCCTGATGTTATTATTGTTCACCTTACAGTTCTGTCTGCTTTTTGGCTAAAATTGAGTCATGGGGATGAGGTCAGTTCCAGGGTGTCTAAGATTCATAGATTCAGGCATTTCACCAGTTTCATCAGTCTAGTAAACCTGGTCTTTTTATTATTTTGAGTTTTATTCCACATTTTTCTCCCACTCTTTCCAAGACCTCCTATTGTGATCCCTTTTAGAGCAGTCAGCACTCACTACATGGGCACCATCTAGTTCTTCTGGTTTCAGGGTTGAGATGGGTTTTGCATGGTCCATTAGTCCTTTGGGCTAATTGTTTCCATGTGTCTTTGATTGTTTTTACGCTTCTTTGCTCTGGACAGGGAGAAACCAGTAGTTGCACCTTAGATAACTGCAACATTTTGTCATTTTTGCTCCAACTGATTGATTGATTGGCTGAAGTATTTTAAGTGAATTACATGTCATGACATTTCATCCCTAAATACCTCTCTAAAAAAAAAAAAAAAAAAACACATTTTCCTTATTATACATAACAAAACTGACAATTCCTTAATATTATCTAATTCCCATTTTATACTGAAATTTCTCCAGTTGTGCCTCAAAGTGTCTTTATAACTGGTTTGTTCAAAATAGGATTCAGTTAAGGTCCATGTGTTGCTTTTATTCATTTCCCCTTCTCCTCCTTCATCATGACTTTGACTTGTTGAAGTGACCAAGATAGTTATCCTGTAGAATGTTTTACCTTAGGATTTGTCCAGTTGCTTCCTCAATGTATTATTTAACTTGTCCACTTTCCCCTATTTTTCGAGTAGACTGCATCTTACTGAACTAAAAGTTTGGTTAATTCTGTTAAAATTATTTGACCATAATATTTTATAGGCGCTCTGGTAGCATAGTGCCTAAAGCACTTGATTGCTAACCAGAAGGCTGGGGGTTCAAATCCACCAGCCACTCCTCGGGAGGAAGATGGGGCAATCTACTTCCATAGTGATACTGCCTCGGAAACCCAAGAAGAGGTCGCTATGAGTCGGGTCCAACTCGACAGCACATAACAACAACACCAACATTATATTTTATGGGTGATAACTAAAACTCAAACTCACTCCAGGGGAGTTGGATCCGACTCATAGCGACCCCTCCTTTGGTTTCCGACGCAGTATCACTACAGAAGTAGATTGCCCATCCTTCCTTCCGAGGAGTGGCTGGTGGGTTTGAACCGCCCGCCTTCTGGTTAGCAGTCACATGCCTCAGGCATTACGCCAACTATGTACTTCATATTACATCATAGGAGAAGGCTCATGATATTTGGAGTCCCACTGCTATTTATATTAAGTGATAAGATCCATTGCTGGGTTAAAGTGATGATAGCTTGATCCTTCCATTATAAAGTTATACTTTGATCCTGTGACCAGCATATAACCTGTGATACTTTGATTTCGTCGAAATACCTAGTTCCTCCTCATCTTCTCACCTATTGAATGTAGTATCCATTGATGAACTTTGCCTCAATAAATTTCACTGTGGGGGTCATAAAATGGTAATTTTTCTATATCTTTACATTTACTAGCAGATATTCTTCTCTAAAGAAGAGCTTTTTGAGAGGACTGTTTTAATTAAAAAGAAAACCACCCTCTTGTTCTTTAGGTTTGAAATAATTGTCTTTCTTTGCTAGGGTCAGAACACCTGAACCCACTATGGCAGCTACAGTAAAAACATGCACTACATCCTCTTTATGCCAACTTGTGAAGTATGTTGACATTATGCTACCTTTTTTTTTAATGCCAAGAGAAAAAAGAAATCTTTTTTGGTGTAAGAATAAGAATTGAACTATATGTGGCTATGTTGAGATAATTGTGTAAAAAGAAGACTGTTTGAATGAGTTTCAGAATGGATTATTTCTTCATTACCTAGCACTTTATAATTAACTGTTCTTTTTTTTATTTATTTCAGGAAGCTGCCACTTTTGCTAGAGAGCAAGGCTTTGAGGTGAGTTAACCCACAATTGCACACTAAACAGATCCTAAAGGTTTTTTCTAGCTGATAATGAAGTTCTTTTGGACAGTGATTGATGTGCTATTATACTCTCAGAACCTCGCAGCAGTTGCCATGGAAACTTGGCAGTCGTCATGGTTTCTTTGTTCTGCCAGCACAGTGTTATGACGCACTCTGCTAGGTCTGCACCCAACATCGCCTACAGATGTTATTTATTGAATTTTGAAAAGCCTCTTGGGAAGCCAAGAGGTTGGGCACGGTTTCAAGCTGCCTCTGCAGATATGGGGCCTGTCAGTTTGTTCAGTTAAAAAGCTACCTCATTAGCTGCATTACATTTCATAAGGCTAAAGTAGTGGTGGAGCAAGACTAAGTAGTGAAATATAATATTGTTTAAATAATTTAACCCTACCACATGTAGATTATCATTATGCAAATTAATTTCTAAAAGGTTGTACTTAACAGTTGTTACGAACTGATTAATTTAAATCCTGCTCATATAAACTTACTGTTTGAATCTTTCCCTTTTTATTCTTTTTTGGATAGCATACAATACTCATAAATTTTCTGAAATTAAATATTGATAATTGGTTTTAATTCCCAGGTCCTGATTCTATTTTCCTGGTAGAATCATTATCCTGTCAAGATGCAAAATTCCATGTGATTGCTGTTGGCTAAATTAAGATAACAGTTAAGACCATGTTCGTACCTATATAATGTCCATCTTCTACTGGAATATTACAAAACACGGAATATAATCAAAACCCAGATTAATTGGCAGAGAATGAGCTGAGTTTATGAGTCTTTTGTGACTATCAGATTTATTGAGCCAGACCTATGTAGAATGCTATATTCTGTACAGCAACTTGATATGTTAGAAGGCAACCATTTAAAAAAAAACATGTTAATCTGAATAGAATATAGAAACTTTTTCCTTACTTGGATACTTAATATTCGTACAATCTAGAGAATCTATGAAGATTGCTTGGATAGTATTAGTAAGTTCACTTTAAACTCTTTAAATAAAGGTGATGGGTGAATTTGTGATAGAAATGTTATTTAAATGTATTAAAGGTGACTCGTTATCAAGTAATAAAATAATACATGTGCATGTTATTCATGTCATAGAACTTGACAACCAGAAACAGAGCTTCCTCTTCATAGAGGAAGATAATGAGCATGTGGTATTCTACATTCAAGATCCTATGAAAGAACTATTTCAGGGTAGGAAACCCTGCCTCATAATACTCAACTATTGGCAACTGTGATAGTTTCTTGGGAGTTTCTTATCTGTTTTACCATATTCTAGTGAATGAGTCATATGTAGAAGAAATAAAGATTTCTAGGTTCTTGTTTTTCTAATTTGTTTAACTTTGTAATTTTTCAAACTGGCAGTTGCTGTCTACAGAGCTAAACGTAATCAGGGTAATATGTAATTTAATAATTAAATGTTTTGGTCATGATAATGTATGTAAATGTTTTCAGACTTTTTTTTTTTAAGTTTCCATGATATTAAATTTTAATGTTAAGAAGCATAGTGGCTAAGGCACTTGACTGCTAACCAGAAGGCTGGCGGTTCAAATCCACCAGCCACTCCTCGGAAGGAAAATGGGACAATCTACTTCCGTAGTGATACTGCGGAAACCCAAGGAGGGGTCGCTATGAGTCGGGTCCGACTCAATGGCACATAACAACAGCAACAACAAACTTCTTACATCAAAATTCTCAACAGATATAAGTTTGTAGAATATAAATTCATATATTGTCAGTTTTCTGTGTTAGCATAAAAAAGTGTATTTGGTTTTATAAAATAACCCATTTTGCAGAAGCTAAGAAATATAACATGTTACGTAACAAATTATCATGATCATTAATACCTAGATAATACCTTTAAATAGTTTATTAAGTCTAATTAATTTATACTTCTATTGCCCCCTTGATACATGCTTTGAATATATCTGGTTTAAATTTAGTCTTATCAATGAACTACTTTTGCTATTTTCTCCTAGCCAGCATTAACCTTTTCATTAGTTTTTACTTCCTGATTCCAAAACTGGTTTTTACCATAAAACTACCATAATTGATTATAACATGTAACTAAAGTGATGATGATTATAATCCCATACCTTATTACCTCTTGACATAGCAAAACTGAGCTGTCATTTATAGTGACAGTGATATGTTGCACTGGTTAAGTACACATTATCTTGATGTCCCTTCATGGGTTACCTAAAACATTACAAGTGTTACGAAATATGTATTAGTCATGAGTAGGATAACTTCAAGTAAGTATTATTATTACTAAAATATAATCCATGTGTGGAACACTATTAAGACAAATTCAGTGATTTCAAAATGTCATTTAAGTTTTCTTAGCCCATTAGACAGTAATATGAAAGCATAGATTTGGAACTTGGTATTCTCCAAGAATCAAACAAGAAGTAATCACTTTATATTATCAGTTTTTTGTCTATAGCAATGTGTTAATGCTCTCAAGTGTAGTGTGACAAATAGAAAAAAAAAAAAAAATCCACATTTTCTCCCTTCAAAGTTTAACTTTGCCACTAAATTTGGGGCATGAATGAGAGGAGGAAAATGAAAAGATTAAAAAGAAAGGTGAGCATTTCTTCTGCCCGGCAGCTCTTCTGTCCTACCCTCATTTTCTATTATAAATCCCAATCAATGCCCAGAGCCACTGAGTATTGACATTAGTGATCTGTCTGCTGACAGACCAATCCAAATACCTCTAAAAATAACCAGTGTTTATTCATCAGGAAATATCCTCAACAGCATTGTTTATGATATTCTGGTTACCTTCTCTGCAAATTTTAGATAATCTTTCTTCTAAAAAATCTTTAATCTTTAAAACGAATTGGGCAATTTTCAGTAAGAAGAGGCAGCTTAGGAGGGCACTGGAGAATGAGATAAAAACTGGAGCTGGGAAGAGCACAAAGCAGAGGAGAGAGGATTTATGTATATATATAGGTGATGGAAAATTGCATAGTGCCTGATTTAAATGACAGACTCGCTAAGAATTTAAAATGACATTTCTTGGAGTAGAAAGTTTCATAAGGCCTTTTATTATTCTGGAAAATCGGTTCAGACTGCAGTGTGTTTTTAAATCTACCTTATCTTGAGCTGAACTGGTTAAAGGTTTGTATTTTTAGGACCTAAATAAAAATAAAGTGCTTAAAAGCATGTTTTACTGTGAACGTTTTTGAAAGCATTATTGAAAATTGATTTAAATTAAATAAAGAAAATATCTATAAGACTTAAAAATCTATATTCTCTGTATTTTCATTGCCCGCAATAGAGTGTGTTCCAAATGATTAAGAGATTTCAAAACTTCTTTTGGATCATTTATTCACTTTTGCTGTAAAGAACACATTTTAACTTTCTTATTTTAGATCTCTAAAATACAATACTTCTGTCCATAAAGGAAATAAGCAATCCTTCTCCCTTTTCTTGCTTCTCCCACCAGCCCTGACTCTACCCAGAGGATCCCAGATTTATAGTCTTTTTCTGACCAATGAATGACTCTGTCATCATATACCATTGACAGAGGAAAGTACAGAATTGTGCTGTCCAATATAATTTCCACAACCACACGTTGCTATCTAAATCAAGGTTAACTAAAATTAAAAATCCAGTTCCTCAGTCACATTAGGTGCATTTCAATTGCTCTATAGCCATATGTAGCTTTTGACTGCTGTATTGGACAGTGCAGATATAGAAAACACACACATTATCATAGAAAGTTCCATTGGGAGTCACTGAGTAGAAGGACCACAGAGAATATTCAAGAAGAGTTGATGACCAAAGAATTCTCCAAGATTCCTAAGAAATATAATGTCTGCAATGAATGATTACCCATAACTTTTGGAAATAAAACCCTAAGTCAGGTCCTGCTGGTTGGTTATAAGCGTGTGGTGCTGCTGTCATAAGTGCCTGGGCAATTTAGAAACAGATTAAGGGGAAAAGATAGGATGGTCTCCAGATTCTCTTCATTAAATCATTTATTCTTCCAACAAATATTTTCTCAGGACTTACCATGTACCTAATGCTTTGATAGACCTTGAAGACAAGGTAGAAATGACTAGACAGGGTATTCTGAAACAGAATGTGAGAAGAGGTTCTTTTTTTAGATACGATAGTCATAGAAGAACTTTCTGAGGAAGTAAAAACCTGAAAAATGTGAGTATCTCACCATGTCAGGGAAAAAATGAAATGTTAAAAAAAAAAAAAAAAAAAACAGTGGAAACAAGAGTATAGAGTCCTCCAAACAACAAAGAACATAATGTACTCTAGGACCTACAGAAGACCAATGTGACTGGAGCAGAGTGGGTGAGGAGGAAGGTAGCATGAGATAAGGCTAGAGATTGACACATCATGTGATTATCATGACCATTACAGGAGTTTCTTTCTTTCTCTCTCTCTCTCTCTCTCTCTCTCTCTTTGTTTCTTTCTTTTCTGAAAATGAAACAGAAAATGATATGGTTAAATGAGGCAATGTGTGAGAACACCACAATTGGTATTCTGTGAAAGTAGGTAGATGGTAGCACTAGTGTTTAACATTTGTATCACTAGCTCGTTAAATTGAAATGAGCGTAGTATATTCTTTAATTTAGAAAAACCAAAAAGCAACGCTAAATTTAAGGTGTATCATTAAGAGTGACCATAAAACCATAATTTTATGCTTATAAAATGCTTTAACAGTTTATAAAAGTTCTTTTCCCACATCTTATTAATACATTTAATGCTGACACAATCTTTGAATACAGGCAGGGTATATATTGTCATATCAGTTCAACAGACAAAAAAAAAAAATAGGCTATATCACTTGTTCTGAGGAGCTCAGGTGGCAGACTGGTTAAGGCATCTGGCTGCTAACCGAAAAGATGGCGGTTAGAACCCACCAACCACTCTGCAGAGAAAGATGAGGCAGTCTATAAAGATTTACAGCCTTGGAAACCCTATGGGGCAGTTCTGCTCTGCCA